CAAAGTTTGCGCTGCAACTTCATATCAAATTTCATTGAATTATTTAATTGAACTATCAATGTAATTTAGCACGATTGCAACTCTGCACTTGCGCGGCAAATTACTTTAGTTAAAGCATGTTATCTCGATAGAAGAAAATATCAAAGACTATTGCAAGCATCGAAATCGCACAAAACACACATGCATAAACTTGGAAAAGTTAAAAAATCAAATAATACCGATGATTTGAACTTGTTTAGAGAATGCTGGAACAAAAAAGAAATGAAATATATTGTAGATCTTTCAAATATATGATCAGGAAAAGATTACATGGATCTGAATATTAATAGAATTCTTATGTTTGCCCCCTGTTTGCTTGCGAAAGCGAGTAATCAAAATTCATTAGATAGTAGTAATGATTACTGAATAAAATAAGACTCAGTTTTGATTGAAAATAAAGTACTTAATAGATAGATTAATATTAATTGGGTGTATGCAGTAGAAATGGCACAGAGAAATTTGAAGTCCAATGACAAGACCTTTAATGAAATATTTTAGAACATGGTTGGTATGAAAGAAAAGTCGTGAATGGAGGAAAAGCCATTCAAATGCCAAAAATTAAGATAAAAACCAGCCGACCACAGTTTAATTAAAAACTTTTACAACAACAGACATAAAGAATGAATGAATTAATGCAAAGAGAGATATCAACAGCGTGTACTTACCGTTAATATTAGAGACGCCCGAATAGCCTGTACGCGAGTCACAGATATAAATGGGTATTTAAAAAATAATGCTTACCAGTTGCACGCAGGCACAAAGATAATCGACAGAAAAGGTGCCTTCAGAGTTTTCAACGCTCGGTAGCTCCGACGTCTCCGAAATGGAGACAGTCCTCGCTACGTGTCCACTGAGATTGTGAATGGACAAGTTGTCGCAAGGGTCGAAGTCAGCCCAGACAACGTAGCGCGTCTTCTACTAGAACAGCAGCAGATTCTGTCCCCAATCCCATGCAGTTCGTCGCTTGCTCGCTCGATGTATCGTTGTTACGATCGCGCACACGCACACATCCATGCCAATAAGCATGTATGCCACCACGGGTGCAGGCCGTATGCAAGTACCCGATGCCACGAAGGCTTTGTGGAGGAAAGACTAAAGTTTTGAGATCGAACGACAGCCAGAAGCAACTTCTCACCACGGTTTTCCCAAATGGACTGCCACTGACATCTCGTCGCAACCGAACAACTCACAAACCACTATGAGTGCGCGTGCGAAAACCATGGGAGAGCCCAGCCTACCCTCCCTCTCTTTATGGTAGCGCCAAGGTACTTTGCTTTTCCCGGCACCTGTTTAAGTAGTAAAATATCTGGTTTACCTGAAATATGGTCTTTTTACGACGCGCGAACGTCGATGGGCTTCGGAATTTTACGATGTGCGTGCGCGCCAATGGATTTGGGCTGGCCATTCTCCCTTAATCCCTCCACCCCCTCCCGCCGCCCTTTTATTTTCCTTTTCAATTTCGGAACTGTGCTGGGCAATATTACAGATTTGGGATGCGCTTGACCTATATAAGTTGAGCAAGTGGGAAGGCTCGAACGGCCGATAAAAAACATTAGAATAAAGGCATCGCAGTATAAGGATCTTAAAGAATACGAATGACTCTGAACTTTTTACCAACGATTCTACGTACATGCATGTTGAATAGAATTTCTCATAGAGCGTCGTGTTCTAATCTCTGATAGGGAAATACAAAAGGCCTCTGTTGGAAAGTGTGTCAATCAAAGCATATAAGTAAAAAATATATCAGTTTTTTTTCCGTTAAATTCTAGTTCTGGAGAAGTACAATATATATGCTGCAATAAATTTTTTAATCGAAAATCCTTTGTGTCTCGTAATAGAACTGAGAATTTTCCAATTTGCCGGGCTAATGGTCTTTTTCTCAGTGCGCGAGATAACGAGAAAATCAATGGCAGGGCAAATAAAAGATTCGCTTAATCAAGCGTAATGAGAAAGAAAGCCAAGCTCTCTCTCTCTCTCTCTTTCTCTTTTTCTCTCGGCTTATCAATAATAAGTACAATTGTAGAGCATTCATTTATCTAGCTGGACAGTTAAAATAAATGCCCTAGGCACACATGTTAACTCGTTTGCTCGGACTCATTTTTTCCTCTCTGTCTCTCTCTTTCAGGTTCGTTCACCAAGTTTTGCTTTGAACGTTATAAATTAGTCAACATTAAGCTTCGCGCGTCGCTATGAACACCACCAAAAAATAGTTCGCGGCCCCTCTCTCTCTCTCTCTCTCTCCACTGGGAACAGTAGTAACGTTTGGGAATAGTACCTGCTTCACCAGAGGAAGCTTTTGCACAACCAGCTCAACTAACTCCGAACGACGTTGGCTTTATAAATTGGTCTAAGTAAACAAAATCGAAGTGCGATTTAACTGCGTGACATTGCTTCTTCCTTGCTTTATATAGAAATGGTGCCACTACTTTTGTCGAACGAACGGTAACATGTTGTACGTTTACATATTTTTTGGCAGTAAAATCCTTTGTAAATAACATTTTATAAAAAAACCAAAACGCATTTCACGGAAAAGTAAGCTACGTTTATAATTCACCGAAGCGTTATAAAATGTTATTTTATCTGGGTAATATGTTTGCCATCATATCTTTTCTGCGAATCGCGTTTACACATTTATACAGGTTGTTTAGTTTTAGTTAGATTATTAGGCAGAATGTAAATATCCTTAATGCTATAAGTCTCAACTCTAAATTAAATTCGTGATGATAAGGAATAAAAGTCAGAATTTAAACAATCAACAATCACTTTACTTTATTAATATGAATTACTCTAAGATTTAGCCGGCATAAAAAACCCCAGTCGTAGGTGAGGAAAAAGACATTTGAATAAAACACATACGAAACAAAACTTATAATAAAACAATAATATTACTTCAAGTAAATATAACAAATGTCACGAAGATTATTTAGATTAGAGTAGAAATGATAAACAGTGTGAAGTAATCGTATAAACGCGCTTACATAGTTGGGATGTCGCAGTAATAAATTTAATGGCCACTCAATGAATATTCGCTCGCTCGCTTACCAGCTTGATGCCTATACAACAAGGAATCGATGTAGGGAAACGTCTTCACTGCTAGCTTAAACGTAGCTCATACGGATGGAGCCCTCGCTAACGTTTCTACTAGTGATGGATCCAACGGGCAAACTGCCGCAAGGGTGAAGACACTCCAGAGGAAGTCCCTCTGCTAAGGCAACAGGCACTCCTGTCCTTAGCCCCTGATAAGGCGTCGCTGATGGTCTCGAGCGAACAGCAAAGGTGCACGTCTGCACACACACTTCTTTTTTTTTTTTTGATTTAACGAGCGGCGAGTCCGTAGGATTTCCAACAGACGCGCAACACATGCAAGACATTTTTTGCCCCGTTCATGTGTTGAAGGCCTGCTGAACAATTCCTTTAAGTGTCGCTTTCTCCTCTGGTGAGCACGAGCTGAGCATACCTTCGACATGACCTGTGCAGCTGACAAATTTTCATATTTTAAGCAAAGGTGTTCGAAAGCATGCTCAAACTCGGTAGACGCGCAAACGGCACAAACACAGGTCATACGTATAATTACATTAACCCTTTGTGTACTTGAATGCAATTCAACATCTGCTGCTTCGGCTAGGCATTGATAAACAAGAGCAACGTTCAAACGAATTTATTTTTTATAGCATTTAAACTTAATTGGCAATACGATAAAAGAGAAGAAAAACAATTACATTTATTGCAATAAATATCGGCTGGGTTACGATATTTTAAATTTTAACAATGTCGAATGATACTAAAATAAATTCAATGAAAAACGCATTTTCCAAAATTGCTCTTATTGTTTAACAAAAAATAAAAGATAATTCGTTAATAATGGAAATCCACTAACGACGCTCTATCAAAAATATGACGTTACTATCTTAATTTCCTCATCGTATTCAGCAGAGACTCGAAAAGAAGTCCATTTTCGTTATAGTGTTTTGCCACGCAGCTGAGAATTCGAAGCATAGATAAACTCGTAATCTGTTTTTCCGTTGCTGCGGGAGAGAGAAATGCAATTACTTATCCTGGCTGGCGTACGCGTCTTGTTCCAATGTTGCTATACCAGCAAGGATCAAATTTAATTTCGATAAAGAAGATTTATAGGAATATAGCTAAAGGGACCAAGAACCGCGCCCCTTATCCTTTTTTTCTATTCACAAGGGACGCGCGTGGCCCGCTATTTTTCCGGATGCGCCAGAAATCGAGTTCCCGATAAACTTATACTCCCAATCGAGCTTTCTTTACTTGCTTATACTCTTGAAGCAGTAGCTTCTGCTGCGAGGCTACTCTCTTCTACTCTCTACCATAAAGCTCTACTCAGATACACATTCTCTTACCCGCAATATCCTAACTTGTCTATTACTGAGAATGCCTCGCGAGACCTTAGTTCAGAGTTTGTTCATACTTGTTCTTCACAGTCAAATAAATAGATATATCTCATCAATTATTTTTCTTTGAATTTAATTATATGGATTAATTAATTGTTTGTTACGCTATGTTAAACCATATAAATAAACGTAGCACTATATTGCATTAATCATTATTATTCACAAACAAAAGGTTTTTTTTTATTATCGCATAGCAATTATGCAGGAATGTAAAATGTACATCCATTCGACTGAGCAAGTAATAATTGAAGTATAATCGAAATTGCAGAATTGCAAATATTACAGAAATGGTTGATTGCTTCTGCTAGCTTTTCAAAGCCGTCTTTTTATTTTAAATTCTATGAAATTTGCGATAATCACGTTCCAACTGCGAGTTATTGAAAGCTATCTTATTTCTATCGATCAGTAGAATAAATAATGAATTCCTATTCTTGTGACAAATAAACGTAGAAATATGATGATATTGCTTATATTAGCCATTTAAAGATCCTCGATATGTCTCTACATTTCCAAATAAAAGTTATACTTTTATTTCCATTACAGGAGCTGATGACGAAGAGCACAGGATGTAAGACGCGACGCCTGTTGCTCATTGGTCTTGTGGTGACGATATTGCTGGTGCTGGTGATCACCGCGACTGCTGCAGTCCTTCTCAGCGGTAATGACCGCGAAACCGCGAGAATTGAAGCCTTCACCGGCCAAGGCATCTCCCTCGAGGAATGGCTTGGTGGGTCACTCTCTACCAAAGGCTTCAATGGCACTTGGCTTAGTGGTACGTGACCTTTTTTCTTCCTCCTAGTTTTTAGCTACAAGCTGTGTGACTGAAAAATCCTGCACTATCGCGGAAAGGCAAATTCACTGGCATACTTTTTCCATCGGGAAGTTGCTTTTTTTAAGCTTTATCGATAATACTGCGATGTATTTTTTTTTATAATTTCAATTGTATGATGCGCAGTTTGCATTTCCTGTAATAGCTTCCTTTATAGGTAAGAAACTACATTCGCGAGTGAATTGCTCGTCTTAGTTTTTTATGAGATCTAAGGGTTAACAGCTTTTTTTATGTACATCAACTCATCTGATAATCGAATCGCGTTTAAAAGATATTTACGTGACATGTAGGTTTATATAGAAAGCATCATAATCTTCAAAATGGATATGTCAGCAGTTTATTCCAAAACGTTCTAAGTGAAATAAGCATGAATGCAAAGCAGTGAAATATTATTCGCACAATTACTATTAATTTATATTATTAATCAAATACCTTTTTATCAAATTTCACGATGATTAACATTAATAAACAACCAGAAATATTGCATATCATATCTACCAATTAGTTATAATACCATGAAGTTGGTCTGATCAAACATTGATTACTCTACTGTAAAGTTTTCTCGGCTTTTAATTTTAAAGATTAAAATAGTTTGATCATTTTCAAAATATTTACATAATTTTTATTAATTTTTTAGTTGGTTCATGTATGCTTTTTAACTTTTTATAGAAATTGCATTAATAATTTTTCAGATCGAGTGTTCAATTTGACCCGAGTAAGATTGCGTATTTAATGTTGACAAACTATAATAATATACTAAACAAATTTTCTCATTTGAAATGTATTTAAAATTTTTCATATTTAAAAAAAAATCTTAAGATAATTTTCCAGAGTATGAAAAAACACTGCAAATCTCTACTTGTTTTTATTAGTTTACGAAAATTACATATTTTTATCCTAGAAATTAATTTTTAATATAAAATATTAGGTAGGTGTAAATGCAAAACGTCGACAAATGACGGCATTAAAAATTACACGACAAAATCAAAATTTTTTTGCCCTCCAAACAACATAAAACTGATCGTTGCATGAAAATCACTGCCCGCAGCCGCATTTAAAGTATAAGCCCCAAAAACAATAAAGCCGCGCATGAGTGGTTACTGCTGATTCGGCAGCGCACACGTTCGGGCCAGCGCTTTGAAGATAATATTGGCGTCCGCGTGCGGCGAACAACGAAACATTGCGCGGCTCGCATTCTTCATTGGCGCCGTTATGTATTCGTACGCGTGCGGCGAATGTGCAAAGGCGAATGGGCTTTGCAGATATGTCTCGCGAGCATCGCTGAAAACGCGCTGTGTAGCTGTTGCTGTTGCGGCTCTCCCGAGTATGATTTTTTCCCTCTCTGTGCCTGATGCTTCAAATGCCTGCCCAAATTTCGCTACTTTTTCGGTTGTTGCAGCACCACGCTGCAGTCGACTGGATATCGAATTCCGCGTTGGTGGCACATCTGAGCGTAACTTTCCGCGTTAGGATCTGTCAATTTTCTCGAGTATTTACGCGACGTTTGGAATGATTTAAATTCCAATACCGGACGATTGAAAGGGCATAACGTCTGTGCGGTTGTATACGCGCGTTGCCCGAATTCCTGATTTTTCTTTTCAGGAAAGCTTCACGTTACCGTAAACTGGTCGTAATGAAATTCGATACGTTCGTGATATTTGTACACGTCGAACACATTCCAATGGATTTGGTATACCAATGGTAAATTCAATAAGAAAATAACTTGCACGTGAATATCGGAAGATGCAAAAGCCTCTAAGCTTTTGTCTCTCAATTCAGAACACCGATTTAACGTTCCATTATAAATCAGCAATTTCTATAGAAATGACACTCATTTACCAAGTACGCCGAAAAATTTCTTCCACGAAACATTGTCGGACTCTAAAATGAAGGCATTAAAACCTCAAGTAAGTGTGCGTCAGGCCAACGAAATTAGTAGGATTCGTTTGCCTCGGTGCGGCGTTGGCAAGCCCCAAACAGAAGCACAAGGCAAAGAGTCGAGGTTTCAAATTAAAGTCTACTTGGCAGCGGCGAAACAAGTAGTAAAGCTAAGCCGCACTGCTAGCTACACAATACTACTACTAGCGCATAAGACTAAGCATTAACCGCGGAAAAATACAAGCAAAAAATAACACATCTGTTTCGCATACAGACGCGCTGGTTTGCAACTGGTAATTGCACCAGGCTTGATGAGTGTTTCAAGCGAAGGGGACACCCCCCGCGCGCTAAATTGAGGTGACTAGGTGCTCGCACAATGAATTACCCTCGCTTCGGCGCCACCGTTTTAGCCTCCCCCCTCACTCGCTTGGTGTTGAATATTGCGTTAGCAGTGACGCCGCCGCTGCCACGTTAATTTCGATTCTGCGAGATTAGCGAAAATTTCCGCGAACGTACCGCGATTATCGTACGCCAGTGCGAATGTAAATGCATCGTATGTATGAGTTTTGGTTTTAGAAACGCAGAATATGCTGAATTCTCGCGAAAGCTCGCCGTTTTTTTACCACTATAATTGCGATTGAATTGACGAAGGGGACACGTGGATATGAAATGTTCATTTTTACCTATGCGCGATAACTCGGAACATTAGAAGTAGAACGTCGTTGAAAGTGTTCCTTTCAGTATTAAAAGTGCACTTTAGCTTTGGACCTATTTTTGTCTCTCTCTCTCTCTCTCTCTCTCTCTCTCGCAACAGCCGCACGCGTACGGCAAGAACAATAGACTACAAAGTTTCAATGAAGTGCATTCAAATGCTCCGCAAAAAAAGATTATCGCGAAATCCTGAGCCTATTCAACTTGAGATTTTACGTGCTGTGGAGAGAAAAAGAATGATTTCAGTCGTGTATCCCGTTTCACAATGATTTATCTTCTTAGTACATCTTGTGCCAATTGTAGTGAAAATTGTGCACGAGTCAGGAACAAGTTTAAAGCAACTTCAAGCAAAATTTTAAGCAGGATAAAAATTACGTATGTTCAAGAATTCTTTTTTCTCGATTCGGTAACTTTGAAAGGAGCACTTTCAATCAGTACACGTGAATGAAACTTGAGTGAAGCGTAAGTAAGAGTAGAAGCCCGGAGTAACGATCGGGAAAGTTGCGTTACAATGTCAACGCACGTCTCTCCGCTTGGATTCTTGGTCCTAGGTCTGTTTTTCCGTACTGTCAGGTGGAAAAGGTAATTGATCGAATATAACTGGCGATGAAAGTAGGGGCGCGAATAGAAATAAGAATGCTTATCAAAACAAAACTTTGGGCCGCAGCCCTAATTCGGTAACACTCGCAGCAGGTTGTTTGTAACTCGCCTTGTTATTGCGCGAGTCTTTGACGTTAATTGCTTGCTTGCTGCGCACAGTGAGGCTACAGTTTCTTTTCGTTCTCTCCCCTCCTCGTCCGCTACGCGCGCAAAACTTTTCGAAGCTACACTCTCCGTCCGCATAATGCATCTCTGGTGCTGCACCCCTTTTCCACCTCGACACCTTGATTAAATTCGCCTTTCTTTTGCTCCTCTGCAGCCGAATGCCTCCCCCTAGGAATGAGAAAAATTGACCCGAGACTCGAAGAGAAAGATCCCGTGGCATATTCCGTAGACTGCTGCAGTTTCGCCAGCCGCTGAATCTTAAATGTTTTCTACTCGACTTTCCCGCTCGCGCGTAAATACACAAGCGCGCTCTCGGCTTTTGGCTTCTCCCCCACTTTCTCGCGGACGGCCGCCGAGGAAAAGTTGAGCGGTTAAGAGGCAAAAATGAATGCAAAGAATATAACCGAAAGAAGCCGGAACCAAAACTTGCCGGAAATTGGATTAAGAGCTTTTTAGTGCACGCCAGACAGCTTTAATTCCTGCGGAAAAATAAGTTACGAAAGGAATGACAAAAAGATCTGCAATTAGGTTAATCCGCGAGTTCCGTATGAAGTTTGACTTCGTTATTCGCCTCCTGAAATAAAAGCTGTACTTCGAGCTGTGATTCTATTCGGCGGAAATTCAATGTCGTGATTGACATTTGCTGTTAGAAAATCAGAAATTCGTCACAATGACAGTTTGCGCGTATTTCACGAGGGAGGAACAAAAAGAACAAAAGTAAACAAGCGATAGCCATAGTCGATCCGATAACAATGCGCACGCCTAGACAGTGCAGTTTTTCGAAAAATTGGTCACACATATGTGTGCGCAGTGAAAACCTGTCCATTGGGTTATTGTTAGCTTCGGCAACGTATCCCGCGCCGGAGAGACGATTCGCGCACGTATCTGCTTTATTTCGGCACGCGCGCTCTCTTTTCGTCTTGTATGCGGAATATTGTCGAGCGTGCGAACCGACGATGCGGAATTATTTAAAGAAAGGGATATCGCGTCGACGAGTAAGAGGAGAGAAAAAAAAAGAAATAAAGAAAAGAGCCACATGTGTAGAGAGAAGCACGAGCGTGGTCTGTGCGCTTCGCTGATTTACCGTAGTTTTTTCCTTTGTTATTCGCGAATACTGTTCGAAATGCTTTGTGTTCTCGTTTCTACCCCTACGTTTTCTCTGCTTTTCCGAGCATTCTCTCTTTCTCTCTCTCTCTCTCTCTCTCTCTCTCTCTCTCTCTCTCTCTCTGAATCTTTTCCATTTTCAGTTTTTCCTCGTATATGACTCGATTCTCAACATTCACGATGTACGCTTGTATGAAGTTGGTTCAAAGTGTCGTTTTGTGAATACGTTTTCTACTTATATGAGCACTACTGTTTTGACAAGCAATAGTGGAAATTTGTGATCGCATCGGTTTTATGTTTTCTCGTGGTTTTCAGCTCTGTAAGCGTGGATGTAATGAATTTAGAAAGTGTTTCAATACCCGTGTACCTTTAGACGCGCAGAAAAAGCGCGAATAAAGTAGGACATTTTTCATATTTCTTATTGCAACATATCAAAGTAAATATCATTTGTTCAATAGTTTTCCGTAACTGAAAATCAGCTAATTTTCGGTCTCGGTCTGTTAAGGTAAAAATTAATTTGTCAAAAAGGTTGAAAATCTTGAAAAATAACAATGAAACAAATCGTAAGAAAGACATACAAAAATTTTAATTCTATTTTCCAGGTTAATGAAGTAACTGAATTATAGTCATTCTACCGGTCTAATATTAATGTCGCTAACTGGCGAATGAATACATTTAATCACACGTAATATATAATTAATTCGAAAGCACTACTAGTAGTGAATATTTTTTTTCTCAACAAAATAATTGAAATATTCTATCTTCGATTATGTTTATATCGTAAAAGCGTCGCCAAGGAAGAATATATTTTCTTTTCATTGTACTCTCAGTTACGCTCATAAATTTGGACTAATTTTTTAGACGTTCCTTCGGCGGCGAGGCGTATCACGCGAACGGATGAAAACAAAAGTCACAGTTAATCATGGACAAAGCGCATAAATGCTAGCAAACGCATAAAAGGGAGGCAGAAAAAAATGAGTAATTCCAGTATTTAAACCGTTGCTCGTAACTAGCATGACGTTTTCCATTACTTTGTGTGCGTAAAGCGCACAGAATCCGCAGCTGTTTCATTGTAAATGAGAGAGAGAGATTTGGCGTATAGTGTTTCTCTCTTTTATCTATAGCGTCTGTTTCGTTAGGAAGAGAGAGAGAGAGAGAGAGAGAGAGGGAGAGTCTAAAAAGAGCAGAAGTTTAAAATAAATAAAAGATTTGCCATGGCTTTTAACTGAAAAAGCTTCAGCCAGGCGATACATCACTGCGGGCGCCCAACTGGTGTGTGCGTGTGTGTATGTGTGTGTTCAAAGAGTGGAACGTTAGAGCCTATGGTCAGATTCCATTCGCCTGCAAACTTGCATTGTATACGTAAACATATAGCCCAGCTGCGTTACGGTGGGCGGAGGTCCCTTTAAAACCAACCAGGAAAATAAAAATAGCAACGAGTACACGGCTTGACGAGTACTAATGATAGCGGCCGCGTCGCCACGCGCGTGCAATGCGTTTCGTGACTTATACGCATTACCGTTGGCGTATCCATGATATCCACCAGCCTGCACTGCACCACCACCACCACCACGCCAGCGCGGCATATAATTAACGGATTAACTCTGATGGGGCTTTGCCACACGCAATCGTGACCAGCTGATGTAATGCCTGACGCTGCTGCTGCTGAGAATCCCTCTATCGAAATAAATGTCTTACGCCCGCTGCTGATGGATTTCGCGCGATGGTTCATGCATAGTTCGGCCCGTTAAATACAGTATATTTGGTTGATAACTGCCTTATAAATGTTGCAAAGTTTATAGAAATTGATTCAAATTGTCTGTCAGCGCTATTAATGTTACCGTTGCACAAAATATAAATACGTTGGTGTTTTTGTAATTTTATATCGAAAAATAATTTTGTTATTGTTGAACTTTAATTTTATTTTACTAGGAAACTACAATTTAAATTGAATTGTCAAGTGACAGATAAAATACTTCGATGGATAAAATACTCATTTGATATATGTGTCCTCGTGTGTAAATTCCGTTATGAAAAGCTTGCATTCAGTTAGCTCAAAAAATAGTGGCGCATATGACATATGACAAAACATGCAAGCATTCACAGTGTAAAAGTTTCATGCTTTTCACGCGCAATGTACGTGTCTATACTGCTGATTTTGTTAGATAAACTTGAAAAATTGATAGCCAAACCAGAGTGCAACGTCGACTGGATTTGTCTGTGATAACAGTGTAAAACGTAGAGATAGATGAAATATTATATCCAGGCTATGTTTGCAAAATGCTTCAGCTTATTCAAAGGTATGAAAAAATATTTGTCGATCGGAAATCATAGCTATAGTATCAATGGTATTCCCTGAAATATCTTTGAAAGAGGATTACATTGATTATTTCTTTTGTATGTCATTCGCCTCTACAGAAGTACTTGCGAAAATGTCAACGTTTCAGTTACACGCGGCATGAGAAATAGTTCGAGAAAAAAAGAGATCTGTTTGAAATTCATCTAGATAACAAATTCTTGACTACTCGCGAAGAATGCTCCCATCGTTTATGATTTTATAAACATTTTGAACGTTCAGCATTTGTAAAGCAATATTTATAGCCTTAAACTTTCCACTGCAAAAAATATTCCAACGAGAGCAAAAGGAAAACATCTTTTTGTTTTTTTCTGGACCGACGAAGTAAAATATATATTTCTCCGGTGAAAACGCAAGAGCGATCAATCTTCATTATCAATTGAATGTCGACGCTGATATGCTTCCTGTTTTATTGCGCGCATAATAAAAGCGTAACTAGAGCCACAGAGCAAACGAACGAACATCTAATGAAAGTTTTGGCAAATCACTGTTGGTCGATCGAGCACGGAGAAAGTAAGCATAAAAGAAGAAAGAAAGAGAGAGAGAGAGAAAAAAGCAGGACAGTTAGACGAAGCCTGTGCGAAGCAAGCGTAAAAGCCCGAAAGTACACTAAAAGCATAATGCGACGGTAGCAGGTAGAAAATGAGCTTGGCAACGCGAGAGAATAGCTCGTTGTACGTTGCGTGGACGTATATACCCTGACGGAAAAATACAAACATCGCGAGAGCGAGAAAAGTCGAAATCCACAGTTCCGAAAAAAACACTCTTCGTGTATCCGTTCTGTTGGATTTAACGAGTTTCGGGTGCGCCTTGTCCCTTAGCAAACACACATTGGCGCACCTATCCTCATCAGAGTGAGTATGTCAACAATGGAGTAGCTGTTTATCGAGGCTTTACGTAATGTCCATGTTAGTTTGTGTGCGTGAGAGAGAGAGAGAAAGCTATCCTACTCCCTTGCGGTACTTAGTACTTCAGGCGTCGACGGGATCCTCTCGTAAAAAGCTTCAACGTTAATACGCGTTTTTATGGTCTATGAGAGGAAAAGCCAACGCGCCACAGCTGCGTATCACACCTTCGACGATGAATTTCGTGTAACACGCCGCGCCGTATTTATAACTTTTGCATTTTGCAAATTTACAGCACACCCTCCCCTCGCCCTCTTAGCCATTTTCAAGATTACATAGAAAAATACCCTTCTTGACTTCTTTGAGAATTACATTTTCTAATTGTACGCGGTACTTTTAACAGTCTCTCAAGAAAAACTCGAAAGAAAGTACATGACTCTATAACTATTAAAACGGCTATTACGATTGTTAGTGACACGAATTTTTATTGAATTTTTCCTTCGTAAACTTGCTTAGTTGTTTTAATGATCATTTCTCTTTTTTCGACAAGATTTTTGTCTTTAGAGTAGTTTAGCAGTAAAAACACACTTGCAAAAATAATCAGCTTACAAGGACAATTAATCATCGTCAACGTAAAATCGTTGCAGTTTTGCGATAAGCGCTATTTACGACAGGCATGTCAAATGCTTGATATCGATTAACGGCCGGATGGTCGCCAAACTAATATAAGGGCGGCGGTGGCAACGAGGCTGTTTGCAATGTTCACGCGGGCAGTAGAGCAGTATACATGCGCTACCTGTACCCGTTGGCGGGGTTTGTAAATGGATGCGTATACGCAGTCCTTCCTCTCCCTGCCCCTTTTCAAGCTGTAATACTACGCCCATACCGAAGCGTTCACTGCATCAGCTGATAATTAGCATAGACATGTAATAATTCATTGATTGTCAATTACTACTAGCCAAGGTAGTTGTAGTACTCTCGCCCTTTCAGTTTAACTATTAATTGAATAAATGTTCTTTATCTTCTTGTTGTTCAATAAAATTCGAAAATTATTCAGACTCTCGGTTACACGTCAGCTTCTATTTTCATATATATTTCGAGTAATGAATGAATTATGCTTCCGTCGGTCATTAAGATAATTCCAAATAAAAAAAAAACAAAAAAAAAAAACAAAAGATCGCAAGTTATGATGCAAAGGAACGCCAATCGAAATCAGATTTGAGCTGCTCGAGCGATTGACCGAGCTTTCGGGTGTTGTACGTCGGCGGCGTCGTAAAAGTGTGCGCGTTGGCGACATAATGGATCGCAGTCGATTTACGTCTCGCAGTAAATATCGTTGCAGGCCAGAGATTGGAGACGTGTGCGAGCGAGCGAGCCAACGTGTTAATATCCGGTTAAGCGTTATGCATCGATGTTACGCTATTTACATGGAAATTCAGATGCCGTTGCTACTGATTTCATACTGCGACGCATCGGTAGATATTATACTGGCTAGCCAAGCTGCATTCTCGCCTTTGACTTCCTCTGTATGGGAATTTCAAATCTGCATGATCGCATCTGATCAGTATATTATTGATTTTGGACAGAGACAATTTATCGTAATTGTTGATATTTTGTAAATCTAAAGATAGCATAAAAATTGACATGCACATAGAAAAAGATTCAAAATACATAGTACATAAAATTCTCAGTACTTCTTTTCTTCCTGACTAATGGTCCAGCTGATGATTTGTCGGCCTATAAGATTCGTAAAAAATGCTCCTTCGTTTTATCTACTTTTTACGAGGAAACCGCCTGCGCGAGTTTCAAAGAAAACACCGCGAGTTCAGTCTCTTTCTCTCGTATATCAACAGCATACAAGGACATAAAAAATAAAAAGAAAGCTAAACACTTGTTTAAATCTTTATTTTTCCTTGGGTTACAGGTGACGAGATTTTTTACGAGGACGAGAGCGGAAATTTGATGATATTCAACGTCACGTCAAAGCGCAGTCGAACAGTTCTCAACATTAGCAATTCCGTAAGTAGAATTTGCGCCAGCAATATCCCTTGTAACGCACACCATATGAAAGCCACACGAATATTTCATAGAAATCACCCAATCAAAAATTGTCATTTGCCAAATATACAGGAGCGTTCGTTATTGATCAGTCGATCGAATGCGCGATTGTACTATAGGACAAATATCCATATCTCGGCGTGAGTTAACGCGCTATTTGTAAACGTCAACGACAGCCATTGCAATCTATTATCCGATGGATCTAAATTCACGTGAAATCATAAACTGTCTATTGCTCGCAAATTAACGTCAAAATACAGCAGAGGCACCGCCACACGTTGTCTCATATCGTTTCTGCTGCTAAATACGAGAGAACAATGCATACTGCTATTGCCATTTGTGTACTAACAGCGAACGATTTATATTAGAGCCACAAGTCGTAATTTTCCAATTGCAAGTTTGCCGAAGAAAGTCCGCGGACGATGATGTACACGATGAACATGATATACATGTAACCCGAAACACAGAGCAGAGCAGCTTGAGCGGATCAGTGATGACGAGTCAAATTAGGCCAAATATTATCGGTCCGTTGCCAGCAGTGCCGGTGCTCGCGCGCGCACTACGACTTTGACTTGTGTGTCTGTCTGTGTTGGGCTTGTTATATCGACCAGACACGTCACTTGACTAGGCAATCGCGAAAATTGCCGTGATAACCATTCGAATCGCTGTGCCCCCGCTTTCCCAAGTTTCCTACGTGCTTCGCACAGACTCACGAGTGTGTGTGGCTGACCTGCCTGACTACAGGCTTGATAATTAGTACGGGGCAGTCTTGCGTTTCAATTGTTACCCCGACCGTATATACAACAAACTTTTACCTATCCTCGTTGGTGTTTTCACTCGTGGTAAGATCGATTAGCTAAATAAAAATAGTGTTTGATGCAAAAATTTATATACTTGTGTTAATTTTTTAAATATTTTTCACATCCATTGTAGCGATTGTAAGCAGTTCATTTTTCATTTATGATGCTTCGCGTTGCATAAAATACTGCCGATTTTTTCCAGTCAATATAAATTCAACGTAGTGGAAAAATACGGATTCGCCGAAAGAAAGAGAGAAAGAGAGAGAGAGAGAGAGAGAGAGAGAGAGAGAGAGAGAGAGAGAAAGCTCAAACGTAAACTTGTCGCGTATTTCATCCTAATCTATTCCCCACTGGTGCTCACAGTAACTATATTTCGGAGGCAGCGGCCGAGACCAAAGCTGCTGATCTATCGGTATGCTTGAAAATACATTGTCCTGCGTTTCACGATTGTCGCAACATTACGAGCAGATTTTACGCCCCACTATGTTACATTTCACTTAGATTCTCCACAACTCGAAATAAATCGCCGTCGGTGTGCTACACACGGTCAAACTAATTTTACAAAGGCAAAATTCCTCATAGAATTTCTAAAATACACTCGCAAAGTCTCTTCCAATCGATTGAATCGTGTCCGCGTAAAAGAAAAAAAAAAAGAAGATATCGGATAAGAGTTTTTTGTGAGCGAATAAAATGACCGTCCCATATTTTCCGCATCCTACGATTAATCCTATGACTAACCGCTCGTTCGCTCGCTCTCTTTGTAATTTCGTTGCCGGTATTCCGAGGCTCATGCATCTGCCGTCTGCTACGTGCAGCGGAAAGCCTTTCACGTGGTGTGCTGCTACCCGAGGTATCGCGCGGCGTCCAAGTTTCACGTGGCCGACCTCTTTGGCGTGTCGTTGCTCGTTGCCCGCTGTCTCCCTGGCGGCAGTTTAATTTTGAGGAGGTTGCGAGCAGCCACGAGGAAAGTCGACGCCCCGCGAGCTGCCTACACGGCCCTGCTACACGTACACGAAAAATCTGTAACGACGCCTGTTCTGTTCGCAGGCGCTCAGCGCGAGCTTCGATCATCAGTTCTCGGCGGACCGCAAGTACCTGCTGTTGGCTTTCAATTATCAGAGGGTAAGTACGCTAGCACTGCTCTATATATACTAGCTAGCGCGCCATTATTATTATTGTATTTATGATGGTATTACGGGACGCGGGGGCCCATCTCGAAAAACGATGATGAAGGTGTTTTCATCATCGTTATTGGCTATTACGGCTTTAACGCTCGTATAATGAAATTTCAGGCCCCCTGCACTCCTCAGCAACCAGCCCGTATTAGATCAGACTTCCTTTTAGTATTAGTTATCCGAGAAACTTAAGACTTATATTGAATCGTAAATTATTCGATGGGACGTTACCGAGCCGAAAGCTAACAAAAGCGATTTACGCAAGCAATTACGATACATCTATGAAAACGGCATATCAATCCGGTGGGCCTCGTCGAGTGATCAAAGCGCTTTTTTTACTACTGTAGCCTTTATTGCCTGTCTGCAATGATGTTTCGCATTCCAACGCAATATCAACATATTTCGTCCGTGCGTGCAAATTCAAGGATACATTATGCCTTCTTTTTCCGAAAATTACAGGTATGCATTATGGGTAATCTCGATACAACGCCCGGTATTATATTGCCAGCATTTAACTTAAGCGAGCCTGTGGCGCTGCGTTATTAATGGGTGATAAACTTGCCAAAATAATTACACTCGCAATAAGTTATTTGTGCGAGTGGCTTTCGCGGAAAATTGATTGCACGTGGTTTCTTTCGTCCACTATAGAGTCCCTTCTAATTTCAAAAATTCAGCTGATACGGCGAATAATGCACTTATCGTTGATTTTAAAGCTTTTTCTGACATTCAATTTGCAATCATGAAAGAAACTTGCAAGTACATATAAAAATATAACCTATCTATCCCGATGTAAACGATAGCACTGTAATAGGAAAAAACGCCCAACGTATATTTTGAAACGGACTTTGTTATAAAAGCTTTTGCGAGTAGCTTACGCTCAGCGCAGTTGTTTTTTGCGATGTATATATAGTTTTCCACACTTTCTATTTACGTAGTATTTTTTCTAATAGACACTCTCGAGTTTGTTTTAAAAAACCATCATAAATAAACATTGAATTTTAGAGATAATACAAATAATGGCTTAAACAAGTATATATTGTTACTCCTTAAACCTGCAACTACATCATAGCCCAATATATGTTTTGGATAATTTCATAATTTGAATATTTTCCACTTTGCTGATTGCACGAACTATTATGTTCGAACTATTATGTGTAAAACCCTCGCGGACATGTTTATTAATCAATACTCACGCGCAATAAAATAAACTTTAAGGAACATAATATTAACTAAGCCGCGGTGATTAATGTAATTGAGAAATGCTTTATCAGTACTGTATTTCGTGTTGTGTTTGTAAATAGTATCTAACGTAGAAACAAGTTGTTCTATAACCGCACTCATTTTCTTTCGAAACTTCGCAGCGCAGTATAAATTTCTTACATTTTCATTGCTATCTTCAATCACAAGTAGTTCAAGAGTCGTAAATTAAAAATGTGTTTAATGAAACGAATGTTATTAAGAGCCGGCCCTCTTCCGGAAAATGTAGGAAAGTTCGCAGAAGCATTCGTCCTTTACCGCAGTTACAAGAATCATACATAATTCCGCACAAATTCTGTAGCTAATGATAGTTATTCACTTTGAATCCAGCCATTTGTTTACAGTAGCTTGGCTATAATATTCTAATGAGGACCGTTTCATGCTAATCTCCACTTAATCGCGCTTATGGCCCAATAAATTGATGCAATTGCCAAAACGAGATATCGCTATGTCATCTTCATAATCTTTTGCACTTAATTATTTACATATTACATGTAATATTCTGGCATTCCAGGGGATCAGGTTACTACGGCGCGTGCCGTGAAAACCTCGTAAAAAATATTATGGAATTTCGATCGCATGTCGATAATGTAAATATCATTGATTTCGCGCATATAAGGTCAATTGTTTGAAACGATAGCTTGATGATTTTATAGATTCAGTCATGCAACTGAGACCATACTAACGAGGGCATTCATGGATAAAATAAGCAGCTATCGAAAATCTAAAAAAATCTCATTACCGACATTAATTAGCCGTACCCTCTGACTATGGCCTAGAAATATGAATTTGCGGGCAAAAGGATTATTATAACATTGATGTACTCACAATAATTCAGCCATGGCCTGGCTATTATCCTGGCTTATTATATTATTCAAATAACAAGGCGAGGGCTGGAGGCATGCTAAAGGCGAAATTTCATCAAGTTCGCATGAAAGGTAATACCCCTTGAATAGAATTTCGTGAACGTGGCTAATTATAATATCAAGTTCAAAGGAGAACTCGGATGCGCTTAATCTTTTAATGGAGTAAATCAGTATTACGACCACCATGGCGACAACAGCGAAGAACGTGCAGCGTGGCGGCCAGGGGAAGCTCGCTTGTGTCCGCTAATGCCTCGATTCAGCCCGCACCAGTGTTGCAGTAATGTATACAGAGCTCGCGTTCGTGTGCCAGCACTGCTTGAAACTCGTAAACTAGCCTCGAGCTCCATCAATTTCCATGCAGTACGCGTGTATCGCCCGCCACGATTGATTTGCATGACGCGTATAAATTTCCTTTCCTTCCCCCTTCGCCCCGCCTCATACCTACTATATTTGATTCGCTTTAATTTTTACCAATTTCCCCGCGACGCGCGACACTGATCAATCAATTTCCCTTTTTCTGCTCTGTCCTGGAATTTCCCCGTTGTCTCTCTCAAAAATTGACGATCTTTCGATTTTAACTGTTTTCGTATGCAAATATTTCTTGTTCGCCATCTGTTCGGGTATTGTGCCTTGAATTATTCTACATGTCATAAATAATTTCTTCCGCGGGCGGGGGTGGAGGAGAGACCGATTCCTGAATGATTTATGCGTTGCGCCAGTTGTTGCCAACGTCAAATATATACACTGGACAAAAAGCTCGGCTTTTACTCGCAGCCACATGAATACTGAGGATATTTTTTTTTCTTTCTATTCGAAATTTAGTCTTTACTACCTATGCATAATTTATAACCGTTTTTACATTTTATCATTATACAAAAGAAAAGAGAGTACCGAAAGACTTTTTTTTATGGTGCGTAGCAGTGATTTGTTCATTTGTAGCGACAATGTGTCGTAGACTTGAAGTGGAGTTGAAAAATACATCGGGTTTTTTTTTAAATGTTGTCGGGCGACATATCGAAATTCTGCCAAAACAAATGAAAAATTTGAGGGCCTGAAGGTATGGGTGTCGCTGTGCTGTCATACCCAATAAAAATTTGAAATATGGTGTTTCTATTGTAACATACAATACGAATACGCCGTACGACGTCAGCCGCTATAAAAAATAGCGTTGTTCGCAAGACTTTTAATGAACGTTTGGATCAATCGCATATAGAAGTCATTCGATACAGAAATAATATTATTCCAAGCCTTATACTTGCATAAGCAATGTAATGAAACAATTAGTAAACTTTCCTCGCGCGCGCAAAAAAAAAATAAAAAATAAAATAGATTGTTCTGGCGCAGAAAATTCATCTTCCTAGAAGCAATCTTCGATCGCCGGAAAATACGAGAAATAAAGAATACAAACTCGCTAAGGACACCTCGCGAATTAATTTGCAGCGAGGATCGCGCGCTCATACCTCCTCCCCAAGGATTTAACGGTGCCGGGCGTAAAACTCCCGTGCTACACGCATATACGATAGGTGTGCGCGCAGGCGGCGCGCGCAACGTTTACGGGATTGTGTGGCGCCAATCTCGGCAATATATTACGCCGTGTCAAATAGCGTAAGAGAGTAGGCGGGGAAACTCATTTAAAGTGTCGCTCTCGTGACATGTAAAGTTTTAATTTAGCGCCTCCTTCCAACGACATGGACGGCGTGGCATTTGCCTCTTTACGCTGTCGCCCTGTCAACTTTGCGAGCTTGTAAGCTCCCTGAGTATTCGCGCGCGCAGCCGGCTAACGAAAGAGGATTAACGCGGCACTCGTTATACTAGCTCTACTTATCCTACTTTCTTTTGCAGCCGTGCCAATCCGCGATGCCCAATCTCTCCCTTTGTTTTCTCTCGTTCAAACGCCCCTCTGACGCTTTTGGTTTATTTCTCGAAGCCTCAGCTCGCTCGCTATCTTTTTATTATCGTGAGCTGACTAAGTCTAAGAAGCATGTTGAAAAATGCGTTCTAATGAGGGAGAGGTTAAAAAGAGCGCAGCTGCTCGCCGACTATCGAGTGATGACAGCTGACGAGCTAAATTTAGCGAGAAACTAGCGACCCTTGGCACAAGAGGGTAGCCGCACGCAAGTGCCTCAAAATCCCACACGTAGAGGAGCATCATTTGAGGCTCCGAGTGACAATTTTATCGCTTTCGGCCACGTGCGCGCAGCCGGAGGTCATTAGGGGAGATCGCTGTGGCTGCCCACGGCATGCACATTTAAAAGAAACATCGAGATCAAAGAATATCTACGTAGGGCAGTGTCATTGGCTGTTCATTAGGCGACAATCGAAATTTATAGATTCGTTTGGTCGTTTTTGCGAGCGAGCGCGCGAGCTAATGGACCGAGCAATATCGTCGCCGGCTTACTTTGGCCTGGTAGCTTGCCAGTACGATGAAAAAACTACGCTCGTTTCCTCTCGACCCGCTCTCTCTCCCTCTCTCTCTTGGATTCTATGATACGACTAAATGACCGTCGATTTTAGATCTCGCTCTGCCTCTCTCCCACTGTGCTGCGCGCGCGAAAATTGAACCAACTTTCGCGGACTGAGAAAAATTGCTCCGATCGTTCGCCGAAAGTTCCAACGCGCTCGCTTGCGGGCATCGTCGAATACCACTATTTATGGCCTATTCAACCCCAATCAAGTTCTCTCTTCCAAAAGCCTCTTTCCTCGAGGCTCGTAGGTCGCGCCAGTCATGCGCTGATCAATGCGAATTGAAATTAACAGTTTGCCGAAATCATTTATTTGTGTCCTATATAACTATGACCTCTTGAATGTCGATCGAGTTCTTTCT